CCCCCCCCCCCCCCCCCCCCCCAAAAAAAAAAAAAAATCAATTAACATATGAAAAAGCTTATAGGTTGACAAAATTGCTGCACATAAGTCAAACTATGAAAAGCTAAATTTGCTCAACAATTTTATAACTACACGAAAAAAAAAAAGCTGCCAGATTTAAAAACCACAGGTAGAAATAACTTATTTTCATCCGTGTGATTAAAAAAGGGGGATGAATCCCAGATGTGAAAAATAAAAATTTAGAATTGAAAAAGTGTCCGTGAATGCAAAAGGCAAAATGGGTATTAAGGAAATAGGGTGTAAGAAAGGAATTTAGGGGGAAGAGGGAAAAGGGTACCTGATAAATGGAGCGAGAGGTGGAGGAGCCACATAGAAGAGACGAAAGTCTGAAGCGGTTGACCCTGGGACTAGAATTAGAAGGGCGAGGACCAAGTCTACTAGAGGCAGAACCCATGTTTTGGAGAGAGATGAGAAGAGAAGGTGAGAGGCAGAGAAGTAGCTTGCTAATGCTAGCTAGATGTAAGATGTGGATGCTTATTGCTTCATGACAATGGAAAGCATACCAACTTGGAGCTTTTCTTCATTTTCAATTATTTCCCTACTTTGGGGGCACCCAATTCAAACACTCATGGACTGTTTTCTTCTTTTCTTCTCTTTTTAATAATATTACCATTTTCTTTTCTCACTTCTTTTTTATAATTTAATTTAAGAATATGGTACTTCATAATATTAGGTTTAAATAACAAGAATTTAATGTAAGTTAATTCCTTTGTACGATACTATCTTACTACATGGTTAATTTTTTTTAAGTGGCGTTACTATTTTATTGCTTTAATTGCACGAAACAAATGTGATTTCAGAAATTGTAAAGATTTTTTTTTTTTTTTAGTTTAAGGGATTCTAACTTTTAGGCGTTTATCGGATTCAGGATGTAGGATGTAGAGTTAATGTGGAAGTTATTTTTGAATTTACGATGTCGATTTTCAAATTGAAAAGTCATAATTGTTGCAATGGTTTTGCATATGGAGTTAGAATGTGTGTGTGTGTGTCATTTTTTTGATGTTAAGTATGGTGATTGTTGATGTGAGGGAATGAAGGAAGGAGATGTAGAAAAGTCATTGATGAAGAAGTGGGTTTGACAAAGGATATGTGGTGGACTACTGATATAGAAAAAAAAAAAAATAGATTTATGTAGATTTTCATCATATTCTATTACATTGAGGACGGAATATTTCTTATATAAAATTTATAAAAATGGATATTTGTGGATGACTTAATAATAATAATATAATAATAATAAGTGAATATTTGATAAATTTAATAATATTTAATAATTATTAGTGTGAACTTTGATATTATTTTTTTAATAAAATTTTAATATCATTTTAAAAAAGAAAGTCATAAGTATAATTTAGTATTATAAAATTAATTTATAAGGTAAATATTATTTTGACTTATATACTTAAATTTGATCATATCATTAATTTATATGAGACCTCTCCAATCGCTAATAAAGGAAGAAAAAAGAAAAATGATGTGAATCTCATATCCTATTATAATTTGTCTAACATGAAAATAAAAATAAAAAAAATAAAAAGGAAAAATAAAAATGTATGTGAATCATGATGCATGGACAGCTTTATCTTTTGCATAAAACATGAAACTCATTTTTATGCAAAATACAAAAGTGTCCTTAAATATATCAAATGTTATTTTTATATTTAGAATATTTGTTATTTTATATACTTTTTTCTCACTTTCTACACAATTAAACAAATTTCTTTTTCACTTCTCTTCTATCAAATAATATAAAAAGAATATTATCACTTTCTACTTTTTCCATCTTTTTCTTTTTACTTTATTTCACCTTTTTTTCCTTTTATTTCTTTTTAAATCAAATGTACTCTAAAACAGGTAAGAATTATATGTATTAGACTTAAATTTTTTCTTTTTGGATATGTCAAACTTAGACATAATTATTTAATATAATTTATAACTAAATAATAATATAAATTTATTTATATTAATTCACCACATAAAAACTAAATCCAAATTAGTGACATTTTTATCCTAAATAAAATAGAAATAATGTTTAGTATATTCGTTTACATATTTTAAAATCACATATAAATCACTTTTCTTTTGTACTTTATCTATCTTAAAATGACTGTAATTTAAGAATTTTAGACACAAGTTAATAATAATAATAAATATGTCACTTTAATTTTTATATAAGCTTACTTAAATAGTCTGGTTATGTAAAAAAAATGTATAACTTTTAATTATGATGGTTAAAAAACTTATGAGAGAATAAATTAGAAAAAAAATTAATAAGGCATTGAATTTCAATATCATAATTCGTTTTAAATTTCTAATTAAATGCTAAAAATATAGTTATTTTAGGATTAAAAAGTAAAAATTAAACTTGTTTTCGATCTACATATAAGAAAAAAATGTTTAATTTTTTTAGAGTGCAATATAAGAAATTTTCAACCAAATTAACTTTATTTAATGCTTTTAATAAAAAAATATATCCATAAAATGGCAAATGAGAGGATTAATTATAATAAATATAATTAATAACATTTTAGAAAATATAGTGTATTTTTTATATAAAAATATGAAAATTAAATATATTTAACTAACTTCTTTAATCCTATAATAAAAAAGAATATATTATAGAGACAGAGAAAGTATTAATTTCAACTAAACATCCGTTTAGAGTCATCGAAAGGTGAATAGATATATTAATTTATTGAGTAATAATATAAGTAAAAAATACCGGGGGTTTTATTTATCATTAATTAATTAGGTGTTTTAAAGTTTGAACGTATTTGGCTTGAAAGTTGAAACTAAAAGGAAAAAAGAAATAGGAAAATGATATTAGCAGAAGACAGTTTGCAGAATCATAAAGCCATATCCATAACAGGCAACAGCTCATACCAAGTAAAATTTGTCTCTGTTTTTTGTTTTCTTTCGTGTAATAAGGTTATGTGTGTGGTCTGCAATATTGAGATATCAATGATAATAGGGCATAATAATTGACGTAGTGATCAAAACACAGATTCTTAACTTCAATCAAATTTAAGTTATTTAGAGGAAAACAACAACGTCATTTTACTTAACTTGGTCTGAAACAGACATTGTTTTATACGGTATGCATTGATTATGTTTATAAAAATATTTGTCCGTTTCTTCTTTTTACCATAAATAAAGCATTTGTTTCTTACTTTATTTGAATTCAATTTGGTTACAACGTCACGTTTTCTTTTATTCAAGAAACGTATAGGCTAAATCATCTTTATTTTTTCTCAAAATCTTTTACTTTTTTCACGGCTCAATTTGTACGTGGAGGGTCAAGATAAATGTTTCACGGTTTTTATCAAGTTACGTAACCATAATTACAAAAAAAAAAAATGCAAAGAATTGGTTCTTACGTGATCACTTTCGTGTCAATGGTTTAACTAAAAGACACATTCTTCTAAAATAATTCTCAAAGGAATAAAAACATGTTTTTTTATTTGACAGAGGAATATAAACATGTTATTCTTAAAGGTATAAATTAATTACATGTCAGGTATTCAAATTCGTGTGAAGATTATTGTTTTATTTTATTTTTTGATAATTATATTATTAATATAAAGTATCTATTGATATTGTTATTTACTAATCTTTATCGAAAATCTGATTAGTGTGATTTTATTTTATAATCGTATTTTTTTCATACACGAAACTTGAACAAAAATAATATTTAAAGAGATTGAGTCTAATTTCATGGAAAGACTTTTTTTTTTGGGTTATTTGACTTATTTCATTCAAATACATATTTTTGTTTTGTTTTCAATAGAAATAATTATGTGCTTAAAATCTGAGGGAACCCTAGGCCCACACAGAACGTTTAGGGGTGGGGTGGATAGGCAATTGGGTCTTGGGCTTTGTCATTGACGGTGTAAGTCAATTCATCTAGCCCAAGTCTAAAAGTTCACTTCTTGTCTTGCTTTTTCATTACATTGCTACAAGATACAAAGTTACAAACCATGACTTGTATGAAAAGAAGGCAATAAAGTTTGATTAAAAATAAAAACAAGACCGTAATGCGCAAATATTACTTTAAGAACACTTGTCTTTCTAAAATATATAATTTCTTAAGTATTAATTTTAATTATAATTAAATTTTCATGCTAATAATTCATGTTAACATCAACGCTTGAGCTTTATCAAGAGGACTCTAATTTTTTATTATTATTATGAAACAATGTCAAAAACACCTAGAAAATTAGGCCTAAGTTTTTTCGTTTAAAATTCAATACCTATATCCTAATTTCACTGTAAACTTATTATTATTATCATTATTATTATTATTATTATTATTATTATCACCGAGCAAGGCATTTAAATATCAATACTTATTTTATTAATCAATCTTGTTGAGGGAAAAATATTAATCATCTTCATGCTTTAGATTGATCCAATACATTAAAGTTCGAAAACTCCGATCTATGTAAACCCAATAAATAAATAGGCCCAATAAAAGATATGAGTCAGATACCTCTAATGTATAGTTGCTTAACCTCAAAATATCATATATAACATGCAAAAATGTTTTGGTCGGGTTTAATATGTCTTAGATAATTTGGGTTGTATTATTAATAATATCCCTATACTTTGTCATATATCCATATATCTCCTTGCTTTTATATATCTTTAACAAAATAAAATATCCATGCTCAAATCAAAATTCGTACCACACTATTTTCCAAAGGGCTTCATAATTGTGCCCCCCACCACTATAGCATGCATGTTACATAGTACTTTTCTTTCAATATCACTAATCATAGTTCCAAAAATATTTGTTAGTGAATAAAAATTAAATTTAATACTAGCCTATAATATATATTAAAACAAAACTTAAAAGCTCTAGTTTTTCAATGTTTTTGTTTTAAATTTGTAAAATGTGTTATCAGTGTAAACTACATAGCTTCGATTTTCTAGCCATGAATAAAATTCACTTTAATAATTTCTAAATTTAAAAAATAAAATAAAATATGGTCAATGAAAAAAAAAAAAAAGGTATAATCATGAAGCTACACCAACATGAAATATTTACACGTTTTATGAATGTTAGTTATCCAACTACCAAAATTGAAACGCGAGAATTGACTGGTAGATTGTTAAGGATAAGATGAAGATGAATAGATTGGATTCTTTATTTTTCTCGTACATTCTAGACATTAGTGGTTTTATTTCATTCACATTTCACAGTGACACCAACAATATATATATTTATAAGGTTTCCCATTCAGTGTGCTTCATCGTATCATAGCAGTTTCAACAACAAAGAGTAAGTCACAACTCACAACACACACATCATGCACAATCCTCCCCCTCCAGGCGGTCCAGGCCCTCGCAACCACCCCGGCCCACCAGGCCCAGGCCCCCACCATCAGCCCGGCCCTCCAGGCCCAGGCCCTCACCACCAGCCCGGCCCCCCGCATGGGCAACCATCTCCTCCACCTCCTGGTCCTGGGGCCCAAGGACCTCCTCATGGGCCTGGGCCACACGGCCACCCTCCACACCACCGTTGCTGATGTGATGCGTATGGAGCTTATGAATAACTATGCTGCAT